AACTCTTTATGTCTTCGGGCAGAAAAACGTCAGAAGGAAAAAAAAAGAATGTAAGTAGAGTAAATGTAAAAGAAATATTTATTTTTATTCTTGCTGTGATACTCAAGTGGCTGCTGGTCTTCTCCTGTTGAAATTCCTGTAGGGTATAAAAAAAGTTGAAGTTCACATGCCCAATAAAAGTATTCCCAATATGTGCTTGTCTCCGAGCAAAAACGCTGTTGTTGTTTTCCGGAGAACTTCTTTACCCAGAACATATTCTCTCGATTTTTTACAACCTATAGACAGAAAAAAGCAATATTTTTTTATGGCTGTTGTTGAAACGTACATTTAGTTTCACATTTTAGTAAGAAAACATCGTGAACTTTTTTTTAATTCATATGCAGTAAATTAATTAGTTTTGTTTGATGAGAAATTATATGATTTGTTTTTTAATAAAAAGAATTTCATTTGCTGCTTTTTTATTAAATTAAATAAGTAAAACAAGTATTTATTTATGAACATATAACCGTAAACATAAAGTATAGAAAGAAATACACACACACACACACACACATATATATATATATATATATTGGGTGAAATAGATGTAAATAGATGCAATATTAAATTTTGATCCTTTTTTTCTAAAATGTATATTTGAAAGGATTACTATTGTCAACGATTAAATTTATATGTACATACAATACCTTTTGAAACAAGAAATAAAGTACAAGTGCATGACAAATTCAAAACAAAACTGTGACAGAGGAAATATTGTAGTATTTTTTCTCACGAGACGAGTTTTGGCTTTTCATTTCCATGAGAGAGGAATGTATGTTATTTAACTGATATATAAAAACCTCTCACTCAAATTGGACAGCAAACAAGCCCTTTTATGGTTAGTTATATTACATGCAATTAGTTTTTTATACTAATGATACCTGTCAGCCAGATCTTATAGCAGATCTGACCGTAGTATCATGGATAATGAGAGTCAGGAAATTAGAGATTGTCTGTGCGACTTTCCCTGATCAAAGCAACTACAGACTGAATTTTTTATTCTGTTTTTTTAAGTGAACCATTTGGGGTTTCGTTTATAAACCCGTGTGATAATTAAGGTCGGCGTAGACCAGGCAATTAACTTCGACATAGACTCGAGAACTCTAAAAAACTCCTGACCTTGGAGTGAACAGTACTTGTGAATGGAATTATCTTTAATTTTCATTGTTTTGTAAACAGAGTTATGAATGTATGTATATATGTATATAATGCTTGTAAATAAAAATAAAAGTGTTCCAATGAACCTGTAAGCCATTCTCTTCTTGAAGTCATTATAAGTCTAGTATAGGCCGATGCGTTACATTGTATAAGAAACAGTAGCGATTTAACTCACTTTCAATGGAATTTTCAAATAATGCGTGAATAATCAATATTTTCACACAAACTAAAGCAACTTTTAACTCATAAAGTTTTTTTTTATCACAACTAATATACAGAAAGAGATATAAAATTGAGCAATAAATTCCAAATATCACGAACCAAACGCATTTGTGATCAGATTGCTATTTTTATTTTTGATATCTTTGTATAACAATTCAGATTTTATAATTTGTATATATATTTAGTTCTTGTAAACAAAAATTAAAGTATTTCCATGAACCTGAAAATGACCCTCTTCTTGAAGCCTTTATAATTCTAATATAGGCCGAGACATTATACTGCAAATAACCCTTCAATATTAGTTTCTCAAAAACAACGAATCGTAACAGTCATTTTCTCAAAGTCTTTGTAACATTAACTTGCAAGATGAACACAACACTAAGACTTTACTTGGTAAAATATTTTTTACGCTCATGATAATACACATGATTATTTTTGGTTCATAAATGTTCAAAAACTCCATTCATAGTTCGTCAGAAACTACGAACCGAAATATTCTTTTTCTCCAGAATCTCTGCCGCGTTAGCTTTCGAGTGGGACACAACAAGAAAGCTTACCTGGTATGAGATTTCCATCTGGGTTCTCCACCGCTCGCTCGAGTGACACCAAAACCTTCTTGAACACATTCTTTTCTTCCCTTTCGTTTCTTTTGATGGCATAAATATTGGGCGAGGGGATTTCGGGGTAAGACGATAGTGAAAGGCTTCGGGGGATTACAGCCAGGGAAGAAAAAAATAAGACTTTGGCTGAAGGTGAGGGAAGAGAAGAAATAATGTTTGTGTCAGTACCGTTGTTGAATCAGTCCTTGAATGGGAAAGAAAGCGGTACTGTTTGCTGAATAAAAAAATGGCTTCCTTTTTTTAAAATCTGTAGTGAGGTAGAACTTTTAAAAGAACGATGAACTATTCCATTTTTAACAGCTTAAATGAACTCATATTATTTTATACCAGCAGCTCGCGACAATCCTTCAAAAACTTTATAAAAATATTTAGATAATAAATTATTCAGTTTCTTCTAATTTAGTTTATTTGCCAGTTTAAACTGTTTGAAAAGATTGTCTTTTTTGTGAAACCATTAAAATTTATTTGCCACGCACCACTTTTTTTGTGGACACCTAGCAAGGCAATAAAATATCAACATATCCGATAAGTTCTTGTTCAAATTACACGTTCGATTCGTATTTCGTCAAACGCCAGTGCGTCAAAACTTTCAATTTTATCAGAATCACTCACGACTTAGCCTTGGAAGTTAGTATTTCTTTTACAATTAATATCTCTAAGACTCTTTGCTGTATATTCGAATAACAACAAGCGTTTTGGAGCATATTTCATAATACTACAGTTTTTTTTTTCTTTCGACAGTATAAATATAAAAGAAGTTCCATGGTTGGAAAAATGAAGATGGGTTGCATTATATCCTAATTATACCATAAAACTGTTATTGTTAATATAATTCAATAACTATATTAACATTGAAAGCACTGTTAACACTGAAATTTTTTTCAAAAGCATTGTTAACATTAAGTATTTTACGCTAATAATAATATAGTTGATTATGTTTGGTTCATAAAAATTCGAAAACTTTATTCATAGTTCGTCAAAAACAATGAACACAAAACATTATTTTCCTCAGAATCTCTGTTGCGTTAGCTTCCGAGATGAACACAGTATTAAAGTGTTAATTGATAAAACAATGTTCCGATACTAATAATACTTTAGGTTATGTTTGGTTCATAAAAAGTGAAAAACTTCAATCTTAAATCTTTTTCGTCAAAAACAACGAACCAAGCATAATCGAAACATTCCTTGTCTAAAAGTCTCTGTCACTTTAGCTTCCAAGATTAACACAATATTAAGATTTTACTTGGTAAAATATTTTTACGATCATGATAATACAGATGATTATTTTTGGTTCATAAATGTTTAAGAACCTCATTCACCGAACCGAAAAATTCTTTTCTTCCAGAATCTGAGTCCCATTAGCTTTCAAGTGGGACACAATAAGAAAGCTTACCTGGTATGCGATTTCCATCTGTGTTCTCCACCGCTCGCTGGAGTGACACAAAACCTTCTTGAACACATTCTTTTCGTTTCTTTTGATGGCATAAATATCGGACGAGGAGATTTCGGGAAAGAGGATAGTGTGTGCCCAAGTGGAAGGCTTCGGGGAATTACGGCCAGGGAAGAAGAAGTAAGACTTTGGCTGGAGGTGGGGGAAAATAATGTTTGTGTCAGTATCATGTTGAATTAGTCCAAGAGTGGGAGGAAAGCGGTGCTGTTTTCTGAGTAAAAATATGGCTTCTTCTTTTTAAAAATCTTTAGAGAGGCAGAACTTTTAAAAGAATGATGAACTATTCCATTTTTAACAGCTTAAATGAACTCATATTGTTATATACCAGCATTTCGCAACAATTCTTCAAAAACTTTATAAAAATATTTAGATAATAAATTATAAATTATTCAGTTTTTTTTCTTTTTTAATTTACTCGTCAGTTTAAACTGTTTCAAATGATTGTCTTTTTTTGTGAAACCATTAAAATTTATTTGTCGTGCACCAATTTGTTAGTGGACACCTAGCATGGCAATAAAAGATCAACATATCTGATAAGTTCTTATTCAAATTACATGTTAGATTCATATTTTGTCAAACGCCAGTGCGTCAAAGCTTTCATTTCTATCAGAATGCCTCACGTCTTGGAGTGTTCTCGAGCACATTCTTTTCTTCCCTCTCGTTTCTTTTGATGGCATAAATATTGGGAGAGGGGATTTCGGAGTAAGACGATAGGGAAAGGCTTCGGGGGGATTACAGCCCGGGAAGAAAAAAATAAGACTTTGGCTGAAGGTGAGGGAAGAGAAGAAATAATGTTTGTGTCAGTACCATTGTTGAATCAGTTAGAGAATGGCAAGAAAGCTGTAGTGTTTCCTGAATAAAAATATGGCTTCTGTTTTTTTTAAATCTGTAGAGAGGTAAAACTTTTAAAAGAACGATGAACTTTGTAGTCGAATTATTTTAGTTTTATCGTAAGTTTCAATAAGTATTTCGTTTAGGTAAATCCCATATTTTTGATCAGAAAGAAAATAAAAGCGATAGTGATAAAGTAGTAGGAAAGGTAAAAAAAGAAAAATAATATTTTTCTTAGCAGCTATTTGGAAATACATTTTCTTATTAAAGAATATTTCTAAAGAAATTCTTTAATTTTAGGTATATTATTCAGAATAAAAAATTTATATAAAAATAAAGAGTGTATCTAAAGAATAAAGAAATTATTTAACTAGTAAAGAATATACCTAGCGAATAAAGATAATATCTAAAAATAAAAAAATTGTATAAAGAATAAAGAGTGTATCTAAAGAATAAAGAATTTATTTAAGGAATAAAGAATGAAACTGTTTATCTCAGTTTTCCGTATGTCTTAATATAACTCTTATACAAAAAAAAATTAAGTTTAGAATCAATTCAGATTAACAATCGAATTAATATTAAAACCATAATATTACTTTAAATTGAGTGAAATCTAAATTAACAAAAAATAGTGTTTAATCCCTAATATAAAGAACAAAACACTGACCGCGCCCAATGATGCTTGACTTCGTTAGATCACCGAAGTCAAGCATCATTGGGCGCGGTCAGTACTTGGGTGGGTGACCACCTGGGAACACCGCGTGCCGTTGGCATTCACAAATTTGGGACCTGAAAGGCCGAGTGTCTAGCGCTCTGGCGCTCGGTGCCACAGGTTTTGAGGTGCGGTATGGATGTTTGTTGACTTTGGCACCACAGGCTCCATGTTCGAATCCCGGCGGTGATATGGATGTTTGTGAGTGATTCGGAATCCATTTTAAACTGTAGGTCCCGGTCTCCCATGACTGTAAGAGCGTCACGGAGCCAAAGTCAGACTTCTACCTACGGGTGTTCCATCAGAACAGACGCTGCTTCCTTCCCCTTCAATCATGAGTACGTATGGGCTCGTGGGCTTGGCCAGCCAAGTGGGATAAGAAACAACAAACAACACAACATTTTCTTCTCTTAATAATCAAATGTTTTTTCCTACATCAAACTGTAGCGATATCCACCATAAGAACTCCAGCAGCCCAACAAAATTAAGCCTCGGTAAAGTTGTCAAAATTAAAATTCGTGAAGTGCAGTGCATGTTGTCAAATGTGCAAAAGTCTATGGCCTCACCTGATGAGCACAGAGGACAGACATCATGAGTAGCTACACCACTGCGGTGCAAGAGTTTATGACGAAAATCATGTCCTGTCGAGAGTAGGAAATTTGCTATAAAAAATGCACTGGGCAAGTCCATTGGGATAGGGGAGGAAACAAGTATATTTCACGTTTCATCAGTTTAGTAAGCAAATGTCAAAATAATCATATTAAGCCTGCTCTTAATTATCAATTAAAGACAGTTTTACATTTCCTAATTTTACTCAAAAGGAAAATTGCATTTACAAATAATACAATGCAAGATGACAGAAAAAAAAAAGAGATTTGTAATCAAATACTAAATCCCCTTTGACAATGGAATAGCAATTATTCACGAAATAAGCATATTGTAGTATTTTTAAAATATAAATAAAAACTTATAACTTTAAATATAATAACTTTAAAATAATAACTTAACTTAAAAATAATAACTTTAAATATAAAACAGTTTCAAAACAAACAATATTATGTTTCACCTTTTCATTAAAAATAACTTTAATAAAATAAGTTATTTTTAATGAAAAGGTGAAACATAAAATAAAAAAAATTAATATATTGTTAAGAAAATAATAATTTGTTAAGTTTGATTTATTTTAATGTCTTTTAATCTTGTACTCCTACCTATTTTCAAAGTTGTTCGTTGCAGTTTTAATTTTTTATTGCATAAGAGAAGTATACGATATGCATAAGAAAAATTTTAAAATAACAAATGTATCGGTAAAGTTTAATGTAAGAATATTTTGCACAATAAAAACAATAAAGTGTAAGAGTATTATCCGGAGAAAAAAAGTTACTCGATATGTAGTGTCATACGTTTTATCGGAAAACTAAAACATGTCTCGACAATGATTCTCTGGGGGTTTCACAAATACGATTTTGTGTCATGATTTATTATTAAATTCTCTTTACAATTGAACAATTTATTTCCTTTTATGTAGTTTATGATGTTTAAGATTTTTGATATGGGAATATATACAACGTACATTAAAAAGAAAGAAAGAAAAATGTTTTGCATCGACCTCATTTTAAGTACATCTTGAATAATTTAAAATATTCCCAGAGAAATTTTGTGCCTAGAAAAATACATTTTGAAAAAAAAAAAAAGTAACACTTTTGTAAATTACTCTTTATTTCTCGCTTTTTATCTGTTTCCCCTCATGCACAATATGCAAAGGGTTATTTTGATTTTCAGCAATGCTAGCGAGGGCAATTTCTGATTTTAAAATCTTATTTATTTATTAATATTTTTTTTAAATATTTATAAATAATAGTTAAATATTCATAAAATAAAATTTCCATTTTTAAAATTTATGTTATTATTCTAATTCAGCTGGCAATACAGAGATGGTTCATGTTTCTGCCATAAGCAAGGGCTGCACTTAGTACTGCCCAGTGGACACGTGTAACTTGAAGATAGGCTACGGACGCGAGTCACACTATCCCCACAACGCTTGACGATTCTATTAGACCGAGAACTACGATTTAAAGTTGGATTCCAAACAACTAAGAAACATCCATGGTATCACCGGTACCCGAACTCGAAACCTGTGGAACCGAGCGCCGGAGCGCTAGCCACTCGGCAATCAGGTTACCTTTTTAAAATTATATATCGTAATTCGAGAAAGTGTCCACTCCACGTGAAGTGAGGGAAGATACCCCACCCCCTCCCTCCCGTCTTAATGGATTTTCTTAAAGGGGGGATTTTTGGAAAAGAAAGCAGAGAGTTCTGCGACGAGTTGGCAAAGAATGTTGTTTTACTCTTTTCCCTGAAGTGCAGAACAGGCCGGAATTTCCGCCTGTTTCCAAAGTAAGCCCTTTGTGGTTTTGTGTATCATGCCGTGTGCTAATTAAGATTTGATTTTATGAAAGATTAGTAAATGTTTAAATATATTAATTAAAAGTATTCTTCTACTTCTATGGCATTTGCTTTCTAAATTTCTAAGAGCAGAAATATCTATAATCGAACAAAAATAAAAACTTAAGTTCGCTGAAGTCTGAAAATATCTGAAAAATGCATTAGTTTTATTAATGCAAAACTATGCCCTGGAGTAAATTTTTGAAATTATACAAATATAATGTCATTTTTATTACATTTTTTTTTTTATTTTAGCATATTTCATTTTCTCTTTAGTCATCAATATTAATAAGATATTGAAGTCAAAAAAATATTAAAATGACAAAAAATACCCTAAAAAAAAAAAAATAATACTAAAAATGCTGAGTAATTTTAATAATTCTAATGCGCTTATGTAACTTGCTAACTTGCTAAAACTGCTTTAAAAATGCGTAAGTTTCTTAAAAAATTGCTAAGTACTTTTAATTTTTAATATTTATATATTTAATTATTAAATTTTTAATTTTTTTTTACAATAATGTTTTTTAATAATAATACGCATGGTACATGGAATATTAATTAATTAGAGTACTTATTTCTTTTACTCCTTCAAAATTCCATACCATTGTTCTGAAGAACAAAGCGACTCATTTTATTTCGCCGAAGTCTTTAAAAATGCAAATTTCCTCTCTGTACGTGAGAATTGAAAATGAAAAGCGATAAAATACTTTCAGCATTTTCACTAAACTATTCACTGCCTCTTGCTGAATACATCAGAATATCTTGGAGCGAAAATGGTGCAGAATGTACCATGAGAGGCTCGGAATTTAATGAATAATAAAGGGAAAAATTATAATAAGCCCGGATATAAATTCTTAGCAACGAACCCGCAATGGAGATGAGAACTTCGCCACATAATGCTATGTTAAACAAATATCTTTCTTTGAAAAGGTATTTGCTATTATCACGAGAGACTAAAATCTTACGTCTCCCACAAAGATTTAATTTCTTTTATCTTTTTTTAATTAATCTTAAAATAATGAAAATCTTGTTCATCTTAAACAAACTTCCCTAAAAGAAAATATTCGAAAAATAACTTTGACGAGAGTTGTGTAATATTTATATTAATATATCAATATTCAATTATGTAATATATATGTATATATATATGCAGATGGCAAATACCTAAACCGTGATCGTTTTTATGCCATAATCAAGGGCTGCACCGACGTTACTCACTTAGCATTACACAGTAGGAGCATGTAGCTTGAGGATAAGAGGTCCTGACGGGTGAGTAGCTAGCGCTCTGGCACTCGATACCGCAGGTTTCGGGCTCTAATCCCGGTGGTGCCGTGGATGTTTGCAGTGGTTCGGAATGCACTTTAAGCCGTAGGTCTCGGTATCACAGGACCAAAGAGTGTCAGATAGCTCAATCAGACTTCTTTTTCCCCTACATCATTCCCAAACTGTAAAGGAGCGACTCAGCTCAAGGCACAGTGATGTGGTGTGGTGTACTAGTAGTAGTAGTAGCTTGAGGATAAGCTACGGATGCTGAGTAACAATGCCCTAGCAACGCTCTACGATCCTATTAGACGGGGACCTACGATTTAAAGTGGATTCCGAACCACTGCCAACATCCATGGCTCCGCCGGAACACGAACCCGAAACCTGGGAGAGAGGCCCTTCAATTATGTAATATATACTACTATTTTGTTTATATATCGGTGGTCCTTAGGTTCTGCATCTGTATATCCCCTACAGCCCACCCAATGGTGATAAAGGAAGGGCAATACAATCCGAGAGATATTTATCTCACATTTATAGTGTTTTATGAAATGAAAACTCCCCCCAGAAAGCCTGATGTACGATAGAGACACTTATATACGAGGCATGATTTTTAAGTAAGAAATATTTTGGAATCCGCACATGCGCATTGAATATATTCATCTATCAGCTATCCATGGATATCATTTCGGAAGCATTCGTTTGAGTCAATTTTTATTTATGCGTTATTTAGATTGATTCGTTAATAGATTGATGCGTTATTTAGATTGATTTGCTATTAGATTGAGGCGTTATTTAGATCGATTCGTTATTTAGATCGATTCGTTATTAGATTGAAGCATTATTTAATTTGATTCGTTAAGAGACTGATTCGTTATTTAGATTGATTCATTAGATTGTGGCATTATTTAGATTGATTCGTTATTAGATTGATTCGTTATTTAGATAGATACGTTATTAGATTGATGCATAATTTAGATTGATTCGTTATTAGATTGAGGCATTATTTAGATTGATTCGTTATTAGATTCAGGCGTTATTTATATTGATTCGTTATTAGATTGATTCGTTATTTAGATTGATTCTTTATTAGATTGAGGCGTTATTTAGATTAATTCGTTATTAGATTGAGGTATTATTTAGATTCAGTCGTTATTAGATTCCGGCGTTATTTAGATTGATTCGTTATTAGATTGAGGCATTATTTAGATTGATTCGTTATTAGATTCCGGCGTTATTTAGATTGATTCGTTATTAGATTTATGCATTATTTAGATTGATTCGTTATTAGATTGTTACGTTATTTAGATTGATTCGTTATTAGATTGAGGCATTATTTTGATTGATTC